CCCCCCCCCCCGTGTCGCATCTGCCGCCCTCTGGTAGCTGCTCCACAGCTCCGGCAAGCTGGCCTCGGAGGATAGCTAGCAGGGCTCTGGGCCTGAGATCCGCCATCAGAGAAGGTCTATTTAGGGTTCCCCTCCTAGGAGATTATTTGGGTCCTCTGAAGGGAGAAAGGGTGGGGAGAGGACTCCCTCTAAGGGCTAGAGGTTACTTGGCCCGGCCTGGGCAGCATCCTTCATCAACAATAGCTGCTGAGCGGGTCGCAGAGGCCTGGAGAGCTCCGGGCAGAGACGGCTGCCTGTCGGAGGGTTCGGACTAAAAACAGAAACAATATGAAACATCACATCCTGTTTACCTTCATGACTCAAATACCCCCAAATAAATTTTTTTTCAACTAAATTTTCAGCAGAGCCCAGTAGAGCCTCTTGAAAAGAAGGGATAAATAAGATAATAGAGATGCTGTGATAGGAACAGATGCAGCTCTCCGCAGCTGTGCTGCTCCTTAATCCAAAGGCCACTCCAAGCCGAGCGTCCTGGCCTCCTCTCCTCGGGCCCAGGCTCTCACGTGGCTCCCACAGAAGGTATCTTCGCGGGACTTGGATTCGGACTTGAGGGCCAGACGCAGGGCAGGCTCCTGGGGCTGGAGGAACTCGGCGAGCCAAGGCTGGGAAGGGGCGCCAGCCAAGCTGGATGAGGGGCGGGCGCCCAGCTTCCAGCTTTAGGGCCAGGCAGCGCCCGCAGGCACACATTTCTATGAGAGCAAAAAACGATGGTGAGGGATATGAAATCGGGCCCCAGGAGCGGTGGAATTCAAGGAATCCGTGTTTCTCTGTATCGCAGTCCTGCGGAGAAGAGAAAGGGGAAAAAAAAAGAGAAATGAGGACCTTTTTTGTAGCTACGGTTTATTCTCAGATATTTAACTCTCACCTACATGGGATTATGTCTCTCCTAATCTCGGACTTGCTCCATCTCTCCAGTTTTCCCTAAATCTCACTGTGATTTATCATATTTACTCGTTCGCTGAGCAATTTCTCTAACCGTGTTTTGCTTAAAGTCTTGGGTTAAGTAGGAGCCCCAAAGAATCACATAGAAATCTGAGGAATTGGTCAGCTGCATCCCAAAACATCTAGTTTTGGAGATTCTGGTTTTATTTTTCATTTGAATCTGCTATGATCTGTGGGCCTCGTTAAGTGGTTTCACAGATGTAGATTAATCTTGCCAAAGGCTGATACTGAGTTCTGAGCTTTCTCTGGGAATGAGGTGCAAGGCTTGTACCATAAATATGACCTTAACTCTCCCACACGATATTCTTCTGGGGTTCCGGCGCTTCCACCCAGCCCCGCAATGAGATACCTGTTATCCAGTGGTTCCAGCGGCAGATTAGGCTGCTTCTGGGGTGTGGTTGCCTCCTCCAACATGGGAATCAGGCACATCTCAGGCCAGTCCAGCCCTGAGAGTCCAGAGTCGCCTGCTGCAAGGACGCATGGGAGCCCCTAGCAGCCCCTCAGTTGGCGGGAGAGCAGATGAGCCCCCCAGATTCCAAGAGCAAGGGCGGTAGATGTGCGGAAGCAGGCGCTTCCTTTCTCAGTTTCTTTCTCCTCGCTTCCTCGCCCCCTCTCTAATAGTGAGATGAATGAGAGCCTCAAGCTGCCATGGCTCCTGCTGGGGGGGGGGAAATCTGCTACTATCTGCTATCCCTAAGTCCTTCCAGAGGGAGAGGATCCCCCAAATGTCTCCCCAAAGTCCCCAGGAGGAAGAGCTGGCGCGGTAGAGTGCAGCAGTGTGAAGCTGGAAGAGACAGCCGCAGGGAAACCTGTCCTTACCCCCACTTCGCCTCTACTGTAAATAAACCCTGAGCCAAAGGGCTCATCCGTCTCCTTAAACAGCCAGTAAACTTTATATGACACAATATCTAATAGTAATTTATTGGGGAGATATTGTAAATTCCAACGGTTTTAGTTAATAAAGGAGCTAATTAAAGAGGGGCGGGCTGTGCTTGGCCAGCTGTTGGCTACAAGATAATACGGGGGTGGGGGTGTAGGGTGCAGGGGTACGTATGTGTGGGTATATTTGGTGCAGCTTTTCCCCCCTTCTCCTCGCACCTCGTGTTGGGCGCTCACTTCGCTCTCTGCCTTTGGGTTTTATATGATTTAAAAAAAAAAAACAAAACAGAATCCAGCGAATAAACTTGCCCCCTCCCTTGTTCTTCCTCCCCACGCGGGACTGGGGAAGGGGGAAGTTGGAGTTGGCGTGGGGTGGGGAGTGGGGGGGATCCGATATCCCCACTCCTCCCCCTGGCGGCGGCGCCCACGTGAGCCGTGCGGCCAATGGGTAGCCGGTGCAGGTTTAACTATGTTTAATGTCAGATAGCAATAAAGTAGAAGCTGCCGGCCGGGCCCCGCGGAAATGGGCGAGCATAATCTCTTGAATCCCGGGTTTGTGGGGCCGCTGGTGAACATTCACACGGGAGACACCTTCTACTTCCCCAACTTCCGCGCGTCCGGAGCGCAGCTGCCCGGGCTGCCTTCACTGTCGTACCCGCGCCGCGACAACGTGTGCTCGCTGCCCTGGCCGTCTGCGGAGCCGTGCAATGGCTACCCGCAGCCCTACCTCGGCAGCCCCGTGTCGCTCAACCCGCCCTTCGGCCGCACGTGCGAGCTGGCCCGCGTGGAGGACAGCAAGAGCTACTACCGTGAGCCGTGCGCCGAGGGTGCCGGCGGCCTGAAGCG